GTGTGCTGACTACCGTAGCTACGAGAGTCAACCTTGGACAGAAATGAACTCATGAATGACATGGTCTCCAGTGGGAAGTTTGTGTTTAAAGATGGGAAGTTTGAGCCATCCACTGCTGCCAATGAAGCGAAGGGGAGCCTTCAGGAGAGTCTCCCAATTCCCTCTAAGCCCCCGAAAAGATGCGGTCCAATGCCACGGGAACCTTTGTTTCCCACCATACCTGAGGGCTGCAATGAGTCTCTGCCTTTTACAGGAAATGAGGCTCTAATCAAAGACGGGTTCGTTGAGGTTGACAACACTGCGACGGGATTTGAACATGTCACTTCCAAAAGTCCGCTTGGATTGGAGGGGATTGGGGGGGTTTTTGTCGGTGTTGGTCGTTCTTGGCTGGGGACTGAAAGTTCTTTCTGCACTGTTGTTTTTTGGTCGTCGGCTGAGCCTTTTTTTTGTCGTCGCTTCGCGTGTTGGTTTGTTGTCGTCGCTTCAGCCTCGTCCCTCACGGCGTACGGACGAATGCTCCAACGACTCGGGCCGGGTCTTCCACGTCAGACCACATGAGGTGCCAAGCCGGGCGATCTGCTGGTCTTCCACTACAGCGGCCACCTGGCTGGTCTCGGAAGGAGTGGATGACACGCCAGGTCTCGTTCGTGTTCGAGTGAAGTCATTGGGGGCTACTGGATGCAAATTTTGGACATTTAGATTGCTGTTTGGGCTTAAACAATAAACATCTAGTCTGGCCGGAAATATGTGCTCAACGGCCAGTTTGCGCGACTTACGCGCTGTCAAGTGCGAGCAGCGGCCCGTTTTTAGGCGATCTAAGTCGTGTTTCGATTGGTGTTCCACAAGTATTCGACGTGTCGATGTTGCATTCCATGTGTCGATGTTGACCTCTCGGTCAAGCTATGTGCTGGTCAACAATGTCGTGCTAGGTACGTGGCAGCCAAGGAATCCAGAAAGGGGACACGCGTAGAAATGACATTTGATTAGTAAAACTCCATGTAAGTAAAACTATGAAGAGGTTCTACAATCCAAATGGCCTCTTTGTTACTTATTAAAAAGTCTACATACATATATATAATTGTTTTGTTTGCTCTTGCGGTCGATCGCTATTCTTAGATACAACTTTCATCCAACCAATCCCCGTTTCATTGGGAAAACATCTATGTACAAGAAAACACCGTTTGTGACAAAGCCACTTTTACTGTAGAGTTTTTTTGTTCCTCTACTTTTTAAAAGGGCATTTCAATTTGAGTTACGTCATGTGCTATTTTCATGGGGTGGTGGGATGACATGATGATAGATCCCGCTGACTCACTGGATCATATCATTTTGTTCTAGCGGCTCTGCACAGAGAGCCAGCATCATCCACAATTCTTTCTGCACGTCCTACATCAACACGGGACAGAGAGAGAGAGAGAGAGAGAGAGAGAGAGAAAGAGTCGGACACGCTGTTGGGAGCGGCCGGGGGAATGGGCGTCCCGAAGAGGGTATCAACATGACGTGTTTGTCATTGATACACTGATGAACATGTTTGTCCTCTCGTGAAACGAAAGTGGTCCTCTAGTTGGGAAGCTAGGATAAATCTTGGACGTATTACGAAAAAATCGAAGCCACACTTTTACCGAATTATTCGTATTTGGGAGAAAAATAGCGTGCTTTGTGTTCAGAACATCTTCTAGATCCTCCCCATTTTAGGGTTCTGCTAGTTCTCCATACCAGGCTGACTTGCTGATGGTTCCGCTGGTTCAGGTCATGGATCTCAGTTTCAAGCAGACAAGAAGACCATGCCATCAGACGTGTGCCTTGTTGCGCCGGTGGTGGTGTTCAGGGTGAAACAACGACCAGTCGAGTCAGTGTAGTTGGCGCATGGTTGTTCTGGTCAAGAGCAAAAGTCTTTTTCTTTGCAGAACATCAGGTCATTTCAGCTTCAACACTGTACATGCCTATACCATTCGACATCAAGCCTTTCCACTGTTTGGGGGTGCGGAGCCTCCTTTCTGCAAAGGCCCAGGCCAGTTGCTCCCAAACGAAGGCGAAGGGTACTGCAGAAAACCTGTCCATTTCGGTGCCAGGGTAGGGCTGCTTCCAAGCGGTGTCCGCTCATTTATCCGCTCATTTTGCACAACACTTCAAAGCTTATCGCAAAGGTAAGGGAGAGTGGAATTCCTCATCTTTGTTGTTCGATGGGTTTCCGGATGTGGGGTATGATGAGACAGGGCAAACCCAGCCCGGGTTTAATGTTTCCTTTCTTGTCAAAAATGGCGCCCTGAACTTCCCCAAACGCCGACGAAACCCAAACAGGGAGGATGGATCAGTCAGGCAGCTTTCAAGGCAAGTCCCAATGGAATATGGACACCCCCTGCGGCAGAATAAGCCAGATTATTTTTCCCGAATGCGTAGCGAAGGGTTCTTGTTTAACTTGGGAGTCTGAGGGTAGAGCTGTGTTTGCCCGACGTTGTTTTCGAGTTCGCAACCGTCCGCAACCGCTTTGCAACCGTTTGCAACCGTCCGTATGATGTCTCTATGGCCCTGCCATTGGGGGAAGCTTTTGCAAGTGACTTTTCATGGATGTGTCACGTGTCAGTTTGCGCCGCTGTTACATTGTGATTTGCATGAAAGTGACATGTCGCGCAAGAAACGTGATGCATTTCGCTGCACAGGCGCAGGGTTTCGTGAAAGTGACACGTTTGTGTCGTGTCCTGCCCAGCAAGAGTGTCTAGCAAGAGTGTGAAGCAAGAGTGTCCTGTCAAGAGTGTCCAGCAAGAGTGTCTAGCAGAGTGTCAAGCAAAGAGTGTCAAGAAAGCAACTAGTGTCAGGAAAGAGTGTCACGCAAGAGTGTCCAGCAAGAATGTCTAGCAAAGAGTGTCCAGCAAGAGTGTCCAGCAAACGTGTCAAGCAAGAGTGTCAAGATAGAGTGTCTAGCAAAGAGTGTCAAGAAAGAGTCTCTAGCAAAGAGTGTCAAGAAAGAGTGTCAAGCAAGAGTGTCTAGCAAGAATGTCTAGCAAAGAGTGTCCAGCAAGAGTGTCCCGCAAAGAGTGTCAGGCAAGAGTGTCAAGAAAGAGTGTCAAGAAAGGTTGTCTGGCAAAGAGTGTCAAGAGAGAGTGTCAAGCAAGAGTGTCCAGCAAGAGTGTCTAGCAGAGTGTCAAGCAAGAGTTTCCAGCAAGAGTGTCAAGCAAGAGTGTCAAGCAAGAATGTCAAGAGAAAGTGTCAAGAAAGATTGTCTAGCAAAGTGTGTCAAGAAAGAGTGTCTAGAGGGCTGGGGAGTTGCTGGCGCTGCTTTAGTTGATGACTCTGCGAGTCATCTCCGAAAACAAGAACGCTTTGAGGGCTACGCTTCTATACAAAGTGACTGCATTCGGGTTCGTGGGTTCTATCAGTCTTTTTTTTCAGGGGTGCCAACTGATCCCTGGTGATGTAACGCCTCACACATCCTGTATGCAGATAGTATCTGCGTACGTGTGTTTTAATAGGGAGACTCCCGGAAACCCCCCGGTCGAGGGTTCTTTTCCTCGATGTTCCAAACCTTCCGGCGGTTCGGTCGAGACAGATAGACTGTTTACGGCAAACACACCCATACCCAGACACGACCCGTCTGGGACCGGTATATTGACCGATCTAGATTGAAGGTGGGCCATTTTCAGGGTCTTTCTGCGGCGGCAGTCCTATGGAGTGTCCCATGGGTCGTGTCTGGGAAAAGTACACACCCTCAAATCAATCAATGGTTCGGAGTTCACCACCTGTTTGGTATTCATTTCATCCGAAGTTGGGGCCGCTTATAATTACCCACCACCTACGGCCCATAGACCCGAACGCACTCGAAGCCGGGAACCTTTCGTCTGGAGTCGCACTTGGTGCCTTCACCGTCTGAAAATACGATTGGCGTCCCACCCCATGAGCTGGACCCCCAAAAAGCAGCCCGTGAGCTCTAGAGCTCATGTGGCCCCTCAGTTCTGAACCCCATGAACTCCGTGGATTCGAAGCTCTAGGTTGAACTCTAGAGTTGAGAAAAAACACATGTCTTGTTCAACCTAAAGGCCCCAGGCTCAGCTCCTTGGGCCTGGGACCCCCACCTCCCCCGCGCTGCGGTTCGCTGCCATTCCGGCCGCTAGGATCTGCCCTTTGGAGTGTGTGGGCGATGAGCCGTGGCCGGGATCCGTGATTATGGATACGGAGATCCATCAGAAGCTCTACGACCCCTTGCCGTGCCTTGGACTAATACCCTTTGGTGTCACCTTTTGATAGACTGCATGTAGACTCCTTCTCTTAATAAACTCATTCGGATTGTAAACCTCTTCTGCAACCGGGGGTGAAATATAATCAGGAGTCGACATTAGCAGGGGACAGTCGTTGATGTGTTCTTTTTTTTCTGGGCCACCCCATGTTCGACAGGAGTCCCTTTGGAGGGAAGGAGGATGTTTGGACAGGTTGTTCGGATGGCACGTCTCGGCCGGATGGCATGTCTCAGTTGTGCTAAGGTCGTTTGTTTTTGGGATGTTGGTGAGGTCAATATACGTGTTTCGAACTCCCTGAAAGCCCTTCGTCGGCTTTTAAAAAAGGTGTGTCGACTCCGCAAGGGTACGGGGCTCCAGTGTTTCCTTGCGTATTCTGCTTGCTTTGCTGTTGCCAATGTGGTGCACATCTCTTGTGAAGAGTGACCAGGCTGCTTGCTGACCATGGAACACCCACACCCACATTTTTGCCATGGAAGAGCTCCCATTTTGCTCAACCTTCCTGTAGTTCCATGGAAAAATTCACCACCTGGACCTGTCTGTCGACTCGTCCAACGATTCGTCCCTTCTCCCGTCTCCTCAACCCCGAGAAACGTCTTTCCCCCTTAGAACCACCCGCACAAACCCACATCGCTCCGTGTCGATCAAGAAGGCACTTCCGCCCCCACGCGAGCCGCCGCAGGCCACGCGTTCGGATGGGTCGGAGCGGCGCCCGCCCCCCGCGGGTGGACCCAAAAGCACGCCATGCGGTGCCGCGCGGAGCGCGGCCCTCCGAGGTTGGGCTGTAAGTCCGTGTGCTTGTTCGACTGCTGCCATTCGGCCACCGTGGCGAATCTGGGCGAGACCATGGTGGTGAAGGAGGGTCCTTTGACCGCGGTGCCGCGGTTTGAGGATGGAGAAGGTCGGGTCGCTGTGGTTGGTCAGGTGGGTCAGGTGGGTGTTGGGAGGACCTGTAGCCTTGCTGTAGCCTTGGTACAAGAGACATGCAGCTTTGAAATCGAGCGCAAAGTCGGTCGTACCTAGACAAAAGGATAGTCCACCAACAATTCGAAAAGCTTCCACTGAATTGCTCAGGGGCCTGTAGGTCATCTCCTCGCCAAGTTACAAAACTTGTACTCATTGTCGAGGAGCTGTGCAACCTTGTCTTCAAATGGACTAGGCCCACATGATCTTTTCCTGGCTCACCCTTAGCCAGCCAAGTACTCACATGCCCTCTCCCGCTTCGCCTGGCTTGGCCTTTGCCGGCATCGCTTCTGACTTTCGCCTGCCGCCCTTGGTCATCCCAAATGGCTGCGTTGGGTTGAGCCATGTTGAACTGGTGTTCGCAGTCTTAAAACCCTTAGTGAAACAATGGTTGCCTAGCAGCCAGACCATTAAATCAATGCTAGTGGTGAAGGCTACAACGGAGCTTTTCACCGGACTTGGGGATTTCCACCGAGCTTCGATACGCCGGCCGAATCGAGGTGCGATCGGGACGCTCGGAACTTGCAAGGAAGTCATGCAGACTCTTGATTTAGCTACCTTTCTCAGACATGGATGAAACAACTCTCTTCAGGCCAGGCCTGAGGAGTTGAAGATTTCATCAAGTGCCTACCATGAGGAATCACTTCACTCCTTTGAAGGAAGACTCAGGGAAAACTCATTGGAACGACAGGATCGGACTCCGCCGAAACTGCACTGCCGCCGCCGGTGCCCGAAACTGGTTCCGATGTTTTATAGGAGTCGATTTGGGGAAAGGCGGAGAGCGGAGGGGAGCCACGAGAGGCGCCTGGAGTGGCACGAAAGGGCGATGGATGTTTCGCGGGCCAAGAGGCCAAGGGGCAAACTCTTTGGTTCGGCGCTGTTCGTTTCTTTTTGTTTTGAACCCCCCCTCTCGAGTAGCGGCTAGTAGCCTCATGAGTATCAGGCAAAGGCTTTGCCTGATCTTGGAGTGGTGAGATCTCCCACCACTCGAAGCAGAATAACAATCCACAAGGCCATCCTGGATTTTTTTCCTGGATGGTTTTGAAGCCCATGAATGATAGAGCCAGAACAAGGCAAGACTTCAAGAACATCGCCAACTTTCCTTTTTAATCCTTTTTCCAGATATTCCCTTTTGCTATATATACGTGTGCACATGACCATACCCCGACCCTTGTACTCGAGATGACATCAATCTATGTTTTCTAACCGCTGCCACCGGTGGCATTCACCACCACCAAGGCCGCCAAAGACGCTTTGGTGAAGAGGTGCCAAGCGCAGAAGGATGCGGTCCAGACGCAGGCGCCGAATGACCCACGGGACTCAGCGAACTTCACAATTCCGCACTGACATTTGCACTGGCACTGACACCTCCTTTAGATTGGGGGATGGTACCATCAATACTCTCCATCCATGATGTTTCTCCCCGGCAAAAAACAACCGCTGTACCCAAGCGTCTGCTTGGGAAAGACTTCTTTGGCACGGACACCACGCGTCCCTTCGCACGGTTTTGCCCATGCCAACGCGTCCGAACGCGTTGTTCGTGGTGTCCCGGGCGACGCGGACCGAACGACCGGTATCGAATCCCCAAAGGGTCGGTCGGTCAAGGCGGGTCGACCGACCTGTTGGTTCCCTATACCGGGACCGGTCCAACTCGGCGGTCGGGCGAGTCCAGGTACCTGGTCCCGCTGATGTTGTGAGCCCCACATCACATCCATCCAATGCGTCTCAGTTCACGTGCGCAACTGGCTGCATGGATTTGCGCGTGGGATTGATCCGCGGACGGATTTGGGTTGAGGTGCGCTTCTACCAAGAGGTGAACCAGGGCAAGCTGGACTTGAAGAAGCACAGTCAGGAGAGTGACTCAGACTTGGGGGAAAGCGCCGGGGTCCGCCTTCCGCTCCAGTGTGCCACAGTCTTGCCCAGGTGCTCCAAGTTCGTGAATACGAGTCGCGCACCTTTAAAGGATAGATCATAGATCTAGCCTTTCTATATTTGCTTTTCAAACATAGCGGAGTGGTCCTTAAAGGTGTTTGATCATCCATCAAATCCAGACTTTGAACAAAGAGGTACCTGGCGGTGGGGAACTGGCAGGTCATCCGGTTCCAGGCACGACGTCGACCGACGGCACGACGTCGGTCGTTCACGATGAAGGCATCGTGCTCCCAAATAGGGAGACCTCCCAGATTGGACCGATCTCCCTGCTGGTCTCCCTCATTCAAACCCACAGGACCCACACGACCCACATCCTTCACCAAGATGAGGAGACCAGCAGCTTACAAGAGTTTTCTAATGGTTTCTTGTTTCTAATAGCTTCTTATTCCTAGTAGCTTAGGCCAGGGTCGCCCCGTTCCAGTCGCGTCCGAGTCGCGTCCGTTTCGGTTCGCGATGCCCGTCCTGGTTCCGTTCGTCGCGTCGGGGTCTCCAGCAGCGTAGCAGCTCAAGAGTTTGGGACCGACTCACCAGTCCTTAGCCAAAGAAATCAGCGGCGAAGGCGAGTACATGTCATTGGGGCCGGCGATTCAGCCGAGTACACCAAGTACTGCACTTGTTGAGGTACTCTTGAATACCAGGGAGAAAGGCAGTGACACCATGTAGACGACTCTTGATTCATAACGGGCCACAAGACATGGATGGATTGCAAAGCCTCTGGGCCGGCCTGTGGAGTTAAAATATGAACGGATGACGTGCGAAATCATAGGACGAGCTGGTGAAGCTCTTCGAGAAGCATTCCTTCCCCAAGAAGACGGGAAGTGGGGACGATGGCTCAGGCGTGCGCGTGCTGGTGTTTTTTTCGTTTTGGTGGGCTTGGTGGGTGAAGGCTTTGTTTGGTTGATTCATCAATTCATGGGTCGGTTGGCTCGGTTCATTGGTTGTTCTGGTTTGGTAGCTTAGTTGGTGAGTCACCTACCGACCTGGGTTGCTCGTTCGGATGCTTGGTCAACAAGTTGCTGGCCGGATTGCCTGGCCGTGGTCCGGTCGTCCGACGACAGGAAGTGACAGCGGCCAGGTAGCCGTGGTTCAGACTCGACCGCGGATTGGGATTAGGAACGTCAAGCCTAGTCCGGCACCTGAACTCTCGCCACTTTTCCGAGCCATGTAGCCGTGGTTTCAGAGTCGATGGCATTAAAATGCAAGAGGTTTTAGAGTCGATAGGGCGCCACATAAAGATACCTGCATCAACCATCAAGCTTGGATTGTGCCATCTGCTCTCAATCCACTATTATAGTTAAGATTATATAGTACGAGGATGATATCCCAATGATATCCTGCATGCTACTTAAAACATCAGAATCCGTCCGTCCATTGCGTTGCTTGTCTCAACAAAGACTTCATGATGAACCCAGTCGTGGCAGTGGGTCGCAGGTTGACCGCTGCAGCTGTTCCCCGCACCTGGTGGAGGGCAGTGGACACGCTACATGGCGGAGGGCTGCAGGTTGAACGACCCATGCTCACTTGGATTTCCCCGACCATTTCTGTCTACTTGTGACGGGTTCCATCTCTAGCCCGCGCTGGACTCGAAGCAATCTGAAGAAAAAAGACGCAGGCTACAGCTACTTGTTGAACCAGAAGATTGTGGCTTTCTGCACTGAATCAGTCCAGAAGGTCGAGGCCCTCTTGGCGGAGAAGGCGGGAGGAGGAGGCGGCATCGAACGCAGATCTCTTTGATGAGTACTTGGAGTTCTTGGGCTGGTTCTTGGTAGTTCACCAAGAACAGGAGAGTAGAACACAGAAAGACAACACCATGGACCATAGCAGAGATTGTAAGGGCATGTTCTGAACGAACCCAAAGTGGGACGGCACGGACAGCGCAGAGGTCACTATTCTAGAGCGGCTTCGATGGTGGAACATGGAATACTGTCATGTTTGGTTTCTTCACCGTTTTGACCCAGAGCTAATCATGCAGAGAACAGATTTCAGACGGTTGATAGTGCATGGACTGAAAAACACAGCAATGCAGGACGCACGCCGGTGTTTGGGAGGGGGTGTTCACCTTGTGTGGTGTGCGTTTAGAGACTTAGTGTTGGCCCAAACTTATTTTGCTGCAATGACGCCCCTGAGGATGTACGAATCCATCCACAGGGGACCAAATCACCTATACATGCGCTGCTAAAAAGTTTAGATCAAGCGTGCTGACCATTTGCTCACACTCCTCAACTGTGATCTACTAGAGACTTGGACATCCAAGATGAACCTTGTGATGGCAAAGCTGCATTCAAGGCGCAAGGCGGCGCCACTGTCTCCTTTTGGTCACAAAAGACTCATCTTGCTGGGAGCAGACTACCCCCTGCAAACGATCCCATGGAACCTGAGAAGGACGACCCGTGGAAGAAGATGGAACCTGCAACCAAGGGGTTTTAGGGTTCCAGAATGTGGTCCGAATAGCAGGGAAGGTCCATTCAATCCACGCTTCAAGGCGCACGTATGGCACGTGCGGCACGTGCGCATGTGCGTGTGCGTGCGCATGTGTGTCCCGAGGTCCACGTTGCCCGCAGATCGGTCGAATGGTCCAGGAGGAGGACCTGAAGCACGCGCAGAGTTTGAAGGTCGGCGACGGAGCCAAGATCTACATTGGCAATTTGGAGCAGGACTCCGCGGCAGCGGACGCTGTTTTCCATCGGCTTCCGAATGGAAAACCCTCAGCTGCCCGGGGGCCGGACGAAGCCGCGTCTTCAACCGTGTCCGAAAAACCTGGGGACGAACGGTCATCGTACACCAGACATGGGTTCAAAGGATCGGGGGATCGAGTGCAGAAAATGATCCAACCTGGCGCATCCTGCAGGCGGATCGACCTTGGAATTGCTGGTGGATCGACTGATATCGACTTAGCTCCAGTGCTTGGCTCGACCCTTTGTCTTTGTTACGTTCGTAGCGAACCTTGTTCCTAGTAAGGCCAGTTACGCGCCCCGTTCGCGTCCGCGTCCGAGTCGCGTCCGTCCGGTTCGCGATGCCCGTCCTGGTTCCGTTCGTCGCGTTCTGTCTTCCGTACCGGTCCGCTCTCTTCGCACGCAGCGGCGGTGAAAACGGGTAAACGGTCGACCGAGCTCATGGTGGTGAAAACGCTCACGTTTGAGTGGGTGATATTCTTTTTTACGGGTGCGTGCCGAAGCTGAGCCTTGCTTCATTGGCGGATTCCCATGGCCAAAAGATGGTGTTCAGAAACCACGCCTGACATGGACACAGGTCTAGCCTGACAGGTCTTTGCAACAGTTTCATTGGTATTATGTTTTGGGTTTGCCCCATTACCTGTGACAGTTGATCAACGGTCAATTTTTGATAGTCATGATCAATTTTACAATATTTTACCACCACTCGCGCCAGATCTCGCGTGAAACGCGTCTGACATATGCACGACGCACAGGTTGATACATAACACACACAGTCTCAGACTGTCTCAAAAGTCGCACACCGGAATCTCCCACGACTCCAGCGTGCGGTTGGCACCGCGTGCAAGCAAATTTGCCACAAGTTCATACCCTTCGGGACGAACAAAGGGAAACGCATGGTCGATGCATCCCTGAGGAAGGACACGTCCGCAGCTACGTGGCCTGGTTGAGTTAAAAGACCCAGGAAAAGCCTGTACACAAGGGTTTTTCGAGAGTATGAGCATGGTTTTCCGAATCAAGTTGGTCACTTCACGAAACGTAAGGAGCTCACAGTCCGCCTTTATTCTGGCACCACTCGCATGAAAAATGGCAGCAAGTTCGCAGAATGAGAAAGAGGCGTCAGGATCCTCTTTCCATCTCAACCCACGAAGGAACTCGCAGATGCTATTCCAGTTTTCTGGATGGCTCTTCCACGTCTCCGGACACGGAAGGTTCAGTGGTATTTTGGGTTTCCACTTGAAGCTCACAGCAGAGGCATCCCACGGCCACTGGGGATACCGAAGTCTGCATTGCGCCGATGTCAGCTTATCAGGCAGCTCTTGGACATTACGAACATTGGATTCTTCCGATGCATGTGTGGGCAAACTGGCATGCACCCCCACCAGCCATTGCTGATGTGACCTGATGGCTTCAATGAGCTTTGGTTTGAATTGCGGGTCGATTGGAGCAATGGAAACGGCAAACTCTCGAGCAGCTCGGTCGACAAGCCGGTTGTTGGCAATGTGTTGCAAAGTTGTGTTCACACATCGCGCCATATCCTCAGTCACGAGCTCAATAGGGATATGGTCGTACTGATGAGCAGGGATCCACTCAATGTTGAACGGTCGGGATGTTTCAGCAGATCTATTGGCAACGACATCAGCAAGAAAAATCCACCAATGAAAACACCGCCACATCGGATCAGGCCTCTCGCCATCAAACACTGCATTTGCCTGTTTCACAACTGCCAAACAATCACTGTAAATAGCAAGCCTCGTTGTGGCAGCAGAGCACGCCACCAATACTGCCCATAGCTCTGTCGTATAAGCGGATAAGGACAGGTGGTTGACCTGCCCTTTGTGAATGATCGTTTGGTCCTCATTCAGGACAGCATAAGTTCCGGTGGCCAGCCAAATATTATCTCCAAAAACAAGGGAGCCGTCCGTCCAGACCTTTTCGATCTCGGTGGGACAGAACTGCTCAGCAAGAGGGAGACTACCAGCTTGTAGCTGCAGCATTCGTCGCCGGACAACAAATGTGGGTTGATGTACATGTCCAAGTAATGCAAAATTGCTCCCAACTTCATGAATGGTAGGCACCCCAACACTGTCGTGTAGATGGGCACACTGATGCACCAAGTGTGCCATGGATTCTCTGTCAGCCCCGCAAAACCGGCAAGCGGGGTTGTCAGTCCAGCCAGTCGCAGCCATTCTATCATTGGTCAAGCAGCAGCCGACCAACACTGACTCCAACCGTTGGTGATTGGAAATGTCATCATTACCAAAGACCTTAGCTGTCCGAAAGAACGATGTTGTTAGGGCATGGTCGAAAACTTGAACAGTCTTAACAAAGTCCTTTCGAGGGGTAGACCCTGCAAGTCTATAACAGGCATCACGTGCAATTGCTTGCAGAATACGGCAGGAATGTTGTGGTGTCAGGTCTTGCAAGGAAATTGGTTGAGAATCACAAAAGGACAAGCACAAATCATTTGTCACCTGAATTTTCAACACGTCGCACGCTTGATTAAATCGGCTGGCAAGGGAGTGGGGCAAATGTTGGCCCGCTCGATGCGTCAAGAGCAGCTTCGAGAAAATGGCAGGGTCAGAGTGGCACGATCTGATGACCTCAAAGATGGTGCTGAAGGCACACGCTGTTCTAGGATCAGTTCTATGAGGTTTCCCAAAGACAGCCTGGACCAACCATTTGGATCTCCACTTAGGCCGGCGTCCCCAAATGCAACGAGAAATGGCATTTTGGATCACATCAAGCTTTGTTTTAGGGATGCGGGAAACGTGGGAACCAAAGGTCAACCTGGGAATGACCTTGGAACCAATCAGAAACACACGTGTCACCATCGTGACAGGCAAAGCAGCAATGTTTTCAATGTCCGTGAGAACTCTCTTGAGGGACCCATCAGTGAAACCAAACGCACACCTGGATGACGTATAGATGCGTGTTCCAAGGGTTTCAAACTCAAGCGTCACAGGGAAATCGGCGAAAGCATCCTTCAACGCGCTCCTGCCCGTGGGGGTGTTGCTCCACATGCTCGACTTAGAAACATTAAGCTTTTGGCCTGCTAGTTCATCCCAGACCTGTGTCACTTGAATTGCCGTGCGAAGTGACTGAATGTTAGCCAAGCGGCACCAAAGATAACTATCATCGATGTACGCCCGAATGACAAGGCCCGGCAAATGTTCAAGCAGGTGGTACCATACCTTATTATAGGCATTCATAGCTAATATGGAAAAAGAACAGCCCTGGGCCACTCCGTTTGCATGGGTCGTGGAGACGGGAGAGGTCCAGTTCCTATATGCAAGATGCTTACGTAGGTGTTGGTACACTTTCAAGAACACTTTGACAACCTTCTGCGGGATGCCAAAAGCAATGAAGAGACATCCAGCGAATTGTGGGATGATTCTGTCAAACGCCTTTGACTTGTCAAGTTTTACACCGACAACAGACTCATTTTCTAAATTGGCAACATCAAGGTCAAGGCGCACATCATTGTAGAGGGAGGACATGAAGCGTCCTTTGACCCCACCAACGATGCCAGCCGGCATGGCTTGGGCTTGCCAGCATTGGAGCTGAGCAAATCTAGCACCAGTATAGGCTAATAGGAGCGGTGGGAGCACAGTAATGAGACGCTTATTGATGGGTGAAGCTAAACCAGGCTTGTTGAGGATTACTTGCTTAGCAGTCGTGAGGGCTTTGGGCATCGGCTGTTCAGTGTCTTCAAGGATCTGAAAGAACATGGCAAGCACATCAAAACATCGTTTGGGTAATGCTTGGAGTTCAACAGTCCTCCATCCATCAAGGCCTGGGGCCGCATTAGATTTTCGTTTTTGGACAATCTGGTACAAAGCATCCCCAGAAATTGGTGGAAGAGTGATTTCAACCTGTTTATCAGAGATGTACGGCCAGACCGTTTCCAGCATCTTAATGGGGTGGTCAGCAAGAACATTAGAGGCAAAGATGTCATCCCATTTGTTGTTGATCTCAGCAATGGCTTCCTCAGGCTGGGTGAGGATTTGGCCCTGATCATTTTGCACCAAATTGGGGGGCTCATCACTAGCCTTATTACGAAGGTGTTGGAAAATATAAGAATAGCCATGTTGCTCGGAATTCTTAATCTTGTCCTTCCAACTACGGATGCGTTTGAGACGAATACGGCCATCAAGCGTCATAGCAAAGCTCTCAGCCCACCTCCTAGACCAATGGATCTCAACAAGTGACGGATGGAACGGATCATCCCACACGATCGAGGAGTTGAGCTTTGTCAAAGCACGATTGGTGCGAATTGCCAACTGTCTGGTGTTGAAAACATCTTGCGGGGAACCCGGGGACCTGGAAAGCCTCTTCATGAGTTCTTCCAACCGGTTAATGAGCTTATAAGCTTCAAGCGAAATTTTGGTAGCAGCACATCGGGTCCGAAGCTGAGTAGGGCAGATCTGCTTATGGCAAAACACAGGTTCACCCGCTCTATGCCTCGGTCCATTCCCCCATTCTGCACCCCTTGAAAAGAGTACTTCTTGGAAATAACGGTTAATTGTTTGCCATTTATCATCAATATCCACTTGTTCCTGAAAGGGACCAGAAAACTGGTCATCCCAGATTCCTGAATCATCCTGACATGATTCAGGCTCAGGCACCTTGGAGATGTTAATTGGGGCAAACTTCACGTGGACAAACCCGAACTGCTCAATGGACGGCCACTCGAAAGTCACTTGGATCGGTCGATGCTGTCGTCCGAAATGGTTTAGGACAGAGGCTTCCCGAACCGCACAAAAAGCGACATTGTTAACAAGGACACCGTCGATAGAAGTGCAACCGTCATCCTCCCCCGAAAAGCAACAATCTTTAGAATAGGTATACGGGCGAGACAAATGTCCAAGCTCATCGACAACATTCAGGGGGTCTTGCCACCCATGAATTTGAATGGCCGCAGACACACAGGTGTAGCTGGCTGGGTTTGCCTGAAAATCACCAGCAACTACGATCGGGAT